TCCAGACCAAGGACTTCAATGAGAAGATGGACCTCATTAAAGGACTACTGACTTTAGGGAAAGTGTGGGAAGTACTGATGAACAGTATTCAGAAAATCCTGTGTCCAATGGCTTCAGCATAAACAGAACACATCAGGTGTAGGCTGTGCAAGCTTGAACTTCAATTATACATATTTACTTTGAATTAAACGTGTTTACCCAGGCAGTCATAGAGAGTACAACTACGGAACATTAGGGAAAAGTTCTTCCAAATTTAGGTCCAATAGACTTTACAGATAGAAATGTATTTGTTTTATTTTATTTTAAAAAGTAAGGCAACTGAGTTAAGGATGTGCAAGTGCCTTACTTTAAATTGTTGCTGTTAGCACTAAGTAGTACTTCAATATGGACTGCTCCAAAACCAGGTGAGGGTTTGGGTCCTCTTCCTTTGGGATCCTGCGTCCCTTGGAATATAGAGAGTAACAGGAGAATTTCTCCCACCCTAACAATGAGTACAGGTCAACTAATTCACATAATTATAATTATAGTAAGACTGCAAGAGTTAGAGATTACATTTATCCAAGGGACTATAATTCAAAATTCAGTCCAAATTTCCTGAAATGAGTTTAAAGCTAAAGACTACAGGCATATCTAACCACATCAAGAATAGAGATAGCAGAAAGAAATGCTCTTCAAGTTCTGAAACATTCAAAACCATAGGAAAGTATTTTTAAATATCTTTAGCCAGGAATGATTTTTACATATATAAATCAATACAATAGAGTTGAGAGTGCAGGAATAAATTCTCTGATTTATGATTTTTTTTTTGGTGGTATCAAGGCTTGAACTCAGGGCTTCAGCACTTGTTAGGCTGGTACTCTATTGCTTGAGCCATAACTCCAGCTCTTTTTGCTGTGGTTAGTTTGGAAATAGGGTTTTACTTTTTGCCCAGGCTGGCCTGGACTATGATACTCCTATTTTAAGCTTCCCACCATCATTGGGATGACGCATTCACCACTATGCCTAACGATTGGTTGAGATGGAGTCTTGCTAACTTTTTTGTCTAGGCTGACCTGGAACCTGATCTTCCTGATTTCAGTCTCCTATGTAGCTAGGATTACAGGCGAGCCATGGGAGCCTGGCTGACTGGTTTTTAAGAAGACACCAAGTCAATTAGATGAGGGAAAGAATAGTCTTTTCAACAAACAGTGTTGGGAAGATTTGATAGTCACATGTAAAATAATGCAGTTGGACTTTTTCCTCACCACACACACACACACACACACACACACACACTAACTAAAAGTACATCATAGACTTAAATGTAAAACCTGAAAATATAAAATACTTGGGAGAAAAATAAATCTTTTCTGAGTTTAGATATTTAATCAAAAACATAAGCTAAAAAAAGAAAAAATAGATAAATTGGAATTAGTCAATATTTAAAACATTCATTCTTCAAAGGATTCCATCAACAAAGCAAAAATATAACCCATGGAAAGGGAGAATATATAAGTCATATATCTGGTAAAGAACTTATTTATAGCCAGGTATGGTGGTTCACACCTCTAATCCCAGGTATTCAGGAGACAGAGGCAAGAGGATGAGGAGTTCAAGGCAAGCTAAGGAAAAATTAGCAAGACCTTATTTCAAAAACAGAATACAAACAAAAAGGGCTAAGGTATAGCTCCAGTGGTAGAGCATTAGGTTTAATTCCCAGTATTACAAAAAGCAAGCAAATGAATAAATTAGTATTTACCATAGTCAAAGAACTCTTACAACTCAATAATAAAATAATACATAACTCAACTGAAATCCAATTTAAAAATGAGCAAAGGATCTGTATGGACATTTCTCCAAAGAAAATATACATACACATGGCCAATAAACACATGAAAAGATGCTCAACATCACTAGTCATCAGTAAAATACAAATCAGAGCCACAAAGAAAAACTACTTCACACTCCCTAATAATGAAAAAGAGAATCACAGATAGTAGCAAGTGAAAATATGAACTTTTAATTTTAGAATAGTTTTAGAAAAAAGTTGTGAAGATTGTGCACTGTTTCCATATATCTCCCTCTCGATTCCACCATTATTAACAACTTAATATAGCACAGTACATTTGTTACCTATAATAAACCAGTATTGATAATTATTATTAAAGTAAGGCTCATACCCTATTCAAATTTCCTTAATGTTTACCTAATGTCCTTTTTTGGTTCCAGGTCCCCGTTTGTTTATTTCATTGCATTTAGATGCCATGTCTCCATGAGGTCCTTTAGGCAATGATGGCTTTTCAGATTTTCTCTTTTTTTTATGACTTGACAGTTTTGAGGAATAGTTATTAGGCATTGTTTTTGGAATTACCTTCAAGTGGAATTTGTGTGACATTCTTGTCATGATTGTACTGGTTATATATGTTTTTGGAGGAAGGGCACAGAGGTGAAGTACCATTCTCATCATCTCATATCATCTCATATCATGGACACATATTATGAACATGACTTATTACTATTGATGTATCATTAGTTTTTCTCATTTATAAAGTTATTCTTTTTCTCTTTTCCATAATACAATCTTTGAAAAGAAGTCCCTATGCACTTCAGAACTGAGGATTTACGCTCCACCAACTTGAGGGTAGTGTATCTATATATTATTTGGAATTTTTCTGAATGGGAAATTTGTTTATTGTTATTTAGTTATTAAATAATTCATATAAGTATGCACTCCTGGATATTAATTTTGTACTTCTGACTAAAGAGCATAGAAATTATCTTCCTTGCCTTTATAGTAAGGAATAGGGACTGGAGGTATTGCTCAAGGGGTAGAGTACCTGCTTTGCAAGCACAAAGCCCTGAATTCAAACCCCAGTCCCACCAAAAAAAAAAAAAAGAGAAATAAATAAAGCAAAAATAGTAAATTTATATTTGGGCTGGAGGCGTGGCTCAAGGGAAAGAGTGCCTGCTTTGCAAGCTTGAAGCCCTGATTTCAAACCCAGTTCCACAAAAAAAATAGCTCAGCAAAATGAAAATAAATGATTTTTCTTGGATTGATCAAAAATTGATGTCACAGGACAAAAAGTCACCCCAAAATGTAGAGACAGGTAAATATAGAAGATCACAGTTGAGATCTGTCTACTTATATCTCAAGTTGCTGGAGCCATTGACTGATAGGAAGATTTCAAATATAATTTTGACAGATTACTAGAGGATGACGTATGTGAGCATGAGAATGACAAATGCTTTGAGGCACTCTTAGGGAGATCCCACGCTTTATTGCCAGGAACCCCACAGATTCTCAAGTAAGGTCCAGTAAATGAATCCTCAGGAGTTTGGCAGGAAAAGGGGAAAGAATATTTGAAATAAGCCTAGAGCATTCTCTATGAAAGAGATCTACTGTTTAAGGAAGACTGCTAGAGTTATAACCCATCTAACAAAAGGTAATTCTCTGACTCCAGTGTATAAGTAATGTGACCTCAGTTTTCTGATGTGTCCAAGAAAAATAGTTGGTTTTCAGTTTGGTTAGCTTTTTCTTGTTTGAAGAATGTGAGTGACAACTTTTAAGCTTTTTTTGCATGTAAGAGATGAATGGGATGTCTCTTTAAGTTTCCTTTCCCAATCGGGTCTTAGCCTCATACATTTTATTAATTTCTTAGTTTTCCATTATCTTCATGTCCATTTTATAGTTCTCATCATCTTTGTTTGTTATCAGTAAGAAGTTGTGTCTAAATTGTTGTATTAACCATTATGAAAAGTAGAAATCCTATCTCTTAGTCATCAAGATTAGATGTTCCAGTATTGCGGTGGGGGGGGACATTATTTTCTCTGAAATGTCAGATTTCAAGAATTAAATACCATAGCAAAAAAGAAAGGGGTAATTTTATTCATCCATTTATGTGCTACTCTTTTTCAGATGTTAATGATTCTGTTCTTCCTAGGTGGGATCACTGTTAAAAACAGAGACAAAAATATATGGTCCAATTCTGCCTTATCCATAGGTAGAAAAATGCCTGTGCCATCTAGCTGATGCTATCAAAAGGAAGGTGGTTCACCTGCTTAAGTTTTAATAACCTAAGGTTCTCATACTTGGGTTTCTGAGTCAGGAAGTCTTCTAACCTTATCCACATGGTCCTGAGCTAGTATTCCACCCTGTTGATACATACTATGGAATTGAAATAAATAAAAACTTTACTAACTTCCCTTTCTCTCTGTTCTCTCTGCTTTTCTGCCAATATATCATTTCTCTTGTAGGGAAAATTTTTCTTTAGAGAACTTTGTTGTTCTTTATACTGCCAGTGAACTATATAAGGCCTCATTAGGGTTTTCTTAATTCATTAGAGAAGTTCAAGTAGTGCCAAACATTTTTTTAAAAAAAGTTTTTGAGATATTCCTTTTAGGGATCTATGGCAATTAAATCATGATTTGGTAAAGAGTTTGTGAAATGATAAAATAATTCCAATTAAACTCTTACTGCAAAGGTCCTCTAGGATTATTCTTTCTAGAGGATTTATAAATCTATTGTATTTATCACTAAATAGGAAAATGGCTGCCAAGTTTTAAATGGAATTTTATTAGAAAGGGAGTTGTATATAATTTCACCCTGTTTTATCATATTAATTTGCACTTTTAAAAATTAGTAATGAAGGTGAATAGAAAGAAAGGGTTAAGACTAGAGACTCTGGAGACTTAACTGCTTGGGTTCAAATCTCACTCTGTAACTTCCCATTCAACTTTGGGAAAGTTTCTCAACTCATTTTCCATGTCTTCAAGATGTGTAAATAGCAGCTTCATAGAATTTTTACAGGAATTAAGAGTTAATCTTTGTAAAATACTTAGAGTAGTGCCTTGCAATTCTATGTGCTTTCAAAAACAGCTGTATTAATTTGATTTGATGTTCCTAGCAATTTGGAAAAGATGAAATTTTAACCAAGGACTGTTTGATCCCATAGCTTGGGCTTTTGCTGAAATACTGCATTTAATGACCTGCTATTTAAAGTTTCTCACTTCCTATACACATACTAACCCAAGCTAAGAACCCTCTGGAAGCCTGCTCTCAGCTCCTGTGTTCTAAGGGCATATACCATAGGGTTAAGGGATGGGGGAATGACAATATGAAGCACATTGAGGAGGACAGGGATGAGAGGAACCCTTCTTCCTGCCAGGTGGGTGACAGATACTAAAATAATAGCTGTGTAGAAAAAGAGAATGAGGATGAGGTGGGAGCTGCAGGTATTCAAGGCCTTAGCTGTTGCTTCGGCAGAGTTCAGCCTCAGCACTGAGCGAATAATCAAAGCATAGGAAGCTAAGACCAGAACCATGTCACTCCCAACAAGCCAGGCCAAAGCCAACTGGTAAAACCTATTAATGGTGATGTCATCACAGGCCAGACTAGTGACCCCCAAGTTAGAGCACAGGCAGTGGTCAATTTCATGCCTGGAGCAGTATTGTCTCTGGGCAGCCAGTACAGGCACTGGAATGGTCAACAGGCCATTTCTGAGCACCATGGATAGTGTGGCTTTGATTACAAAAGATTCAGTAACTATGGAAGGATACTGAAGGGGATAACAAATGGCTGCATATCTATCCACTGCCATGCATAGGAAAATGCCTGACTCCATGCACATAAAAGTGTGGATGGCATAAATCTGAGCAAAACACTCAGGGAGGCTTATGGCCTTAGCATCAAACCACAGGATGGCCAGTATCTTGGGCATGATGGTAGTAGCTAGGCCAATGTCCACTACAGCCAGGATATTAAGAAACTGATACATGGGCTGGTGAAGGCTAGACTCATGGTGGATTGTGATTAAGACAAGAAGATTAGCACCAAGAGCTAAGAGGTAGAGCAGAGCCATGGGCAAGGAGAGCCAGTGCTGCCACTTGTGAATGCCTGGGAGCCCCATCAGGATGAACTCAGACACTTGAAACTCTGAGCTGTTGGGAGTACTGAGGGTGATATCCATATTATGAGATCTCTTGTTCTCAGCATCTGCCTATAGATTAAGGGAAAATAGAATAAGGCTGTGATTAGCTTGGCTGAGGGTAGAAGAATAAAGCTCACTCACAATAACTTGGTCCTTTTTAACATAATGCATCCTCAGTGTCCTTGATACCCTTGGAAAAGTTCAGATAGACTGAAGGGTGAAAATAGATTCTAAGACAAAGATTTTAGTATAAAAGTGAAGAGCTATTAGATTTATCTCTCTGAAATTTTATTTGGATTTTAAAAAATATAAAGAGCATGGACACAAAATGGGAGACATGTATTCTATTTCAGAAGGTAAAATTAGAGGGCAAAGGTATTTTCTCCATTATTAAGGATGCCCAAGAAGAATCATAGCCACACTGAAAACAGTGACCATGCTTTTCTTTTAAACAGTGCCTTGTGATTGGCATATAGTTTCTGTTACAAACCATTTCATTTAATCCTCAACAACGGTCTTTTTATTTTCATAAGAGAAAACAGATTGAATGAATTGTCTAGATAAGAATCATACATTGGAAACACTAATAAGTGACTAAATTACTGTGAAAGCTTTAATCTTTTACATTTAATACCAGTTCTCCCTCCGTCAAATTATAACCAATATGTCAGTATCCTTTAGGAATATCATTTATTTTCTCCTCTGATTATGAAAGTAATGTTAAATGAACCCAGAGGACATTATATTAAGGGAAATATGCCAAACACAGACAGATATTATTCATTTGGCCAAATAATCTCATTCATTTGTGGAATCTAAGGATGTTGATTTCATAGAAATAGAGAGGAGTATAGCTGTTACCAGAGTCTGGGAGGGGCAGTACATAGGGTATGGGAATAGGCTGAAGTTGATTAATGAATACAAAGTTAGAATTGAATAGGAAGAATAAATTCTGGTATCCTATTACACAATAGGGTGGGTAACTTAGTAATGCACTGTACATTTAAAAATAGCTAGAACATTGTATTTTGAATATTCTTGTCACAGAGATATAATAGATATTTGAGGTGATAGTCAAATATGATTGTCATGATTTGATCATTGCAAGAAATGTACATGTATTGAAACATTACATTGTATCTCATAAATATGTACAATTGTCATGTGTCAGTTAAAAATAAAGCAAAAAGCCAAGTTAAAAGAACAATCTTCATGGTGAGTATAGGAATGTTTACTTAAAATTCTTTGTAATTTACTATATTAAAAAAATTTTCATAATAAAATGTTTCAAAAAATAAATAAATAAAGCTGTAATTTTGAACAACCATTTTCATTAGTAAAAGATGTAAGGAACCACTTCCAGATTTTTGCATAGAATAGTTTGGAAGTATAGTAGGCATTTTCTGCACATATTTAGACTTTTAAAAGTCATTTCATGGCTATTTCTTGGCCCTATCACAATTGATTCTTTTCATTTTTTTATTTTGTTGATGTTTCAATTGTTGATTTTCAAATAATTGTATCAAAAGTGTACTTGGGCATTATGCTTTGGGGGTACTTGGATATCTGAGAATTCACCTTTTTACCTTTATTTTTGAATACCATCTTATCTTGTCAAATGTTTAGTTATTGGGCTGGGGATGTAGCTCTGTGGTACAGTACTTGCCCAGTATGTGGAAGGTCCTGAGTTCAATCCCCAGCACCACAAAAAAAAATCAGGTATTAATGTCAACTTTTCCATATTTCTGCCTTTATTTCATTTTATGCATTACGTGTAAGGTCAAGACTCTATTCTTCACTACCTCTGAGAAGTATGAATTACTATGCCACTTATTGATTATAACTAAGTATCTATTACCCATAAAATTGTTAAAGAAAAAACAATAGCACTTTTAGAAAACAAAATGAAGTATAAATGAAAGTTGTAGAAGCTAAAGATAATGATCTTTAACATTTAAAAATGTTTAATTTTCAGCATTTTCCTTGCAATCTTCTTGAATAGCTGACATTTTACATACAAAGCGTTTTTCATCTGTGCCTTTTCTTAACAAAGTATATGTAAGTTTCCCTATTCATTAAGAAACTATAAGTGCTTTACCTCTTTATAAATATATTTTTAAGAACACTAAACATCATATGGCTTCCCAACCTTTTACCTAATTTTTGTTTGATGATTTGTACATGCTACAAAATATCCATACATTTGGGAACATGCACATTTTGTTTTTAAAACATATTTATACTCTTTTTAAATGTACTTTCTATTTTTAAAGCTTACATAGGGCTTTTAAACCAAGAATTTATGGGTAACTTCCACGAGACTGTTTGAACTTCCTAAGTTTATATGGAAACATTTTGTCTATATTCACATTATTCTGGGAAGAGGATCTGTTTAACTTTCATCAAGTTCTTAAAATTACCCAAATAAGAAATAATTATAGAATAATATTGTTTACCCAAAAATTTGACCAGAATTAATTTCCCTTTGAATTTGAATCTTTAATGGTTGATCTTTTGGTTTTGTGATACAACTTATTAACATGGACTTAATTTTGCTATTAATGAGAGGTATGTAAACAAATAGATTCAAATAATTCAATAAATTCAAATAATTAATCCCTCATCAAGTGATGATTATGCCTCCTTTGTCATACAGTGAGCACACATGTACATAAATAATTCCATTTCTGGGAATGTGCTGCCTCTGTTTCTTTCTGATAATTTTTGTCAATATCTGCAAATTTTTACACAACAATACTATATTCCCTTTATTACTTTCTTAAGTTTGAAACCCTTTCATACATTTATTCTCTAGGTTAATGTTGGAATTTCTGTGTTGAGTTGTAAAATAGCATGGTTTTGGTTGAGATTGTAGTAAACCTATAGATGAATTTTGAGAAAATGATTGATAGGTCTTCTTATTCAGGAATATGGATCTTTTCTGCCTTTATTAAAAAATTTAAAAAATATCATCAAATTTTTGTACTGTACTTACTGTGATTATTAGCATTCTGAGATGTTTTAGTGAATATGATTATTTCTCTGGATTGCGCATTTGAATGTATTTTTCTGGCATATGGCAACACATTGAATTGATCTTTTTGTTGTGTATTCTTATATCCATCCACTTTAATAAACTTGTGATCCTTTTAAATGTTTTGTGGGCTTTGTTTTGTGCTCTAACAATTAATTATTGCTATAAAGTAAATACCTTGTTTAATATTATTGTTGTTGTTATTTCAGAATTTTTTGAGACAGCATCTCACTACATAGCCAGACTGCCCTTGAACTGGAGATCCTCCTGCCTCAGTTTCCCCAGCACTGAAACTGCAAGCATGTATCACTACTTTATGACTCTATTATTTTATATATTGCAATTGTATGTTTTGTCTTCTACTCCACCCATTTTCCTAAGCTATTGTTAATTTCTATAATTTCTTCCCTGATAACTATTTTGTAAAAAAATTTTTCTAGGTAGGTAGAACAAAAAGTTGTTTGCAAATGATACTTTCCTTCTTTATAAATATTGATATCCCTTAATTTTTGTTTCATGTCTCAATAGAAAATTCCTGATCAATATAAAATGATGCCATTATGATAGCATACATCTTGACTTTCCAATGTTGCACATCTTTTATCAGATATAAAATAATTTTTTATTTAAGGTTTTTTTTTGTCCTGGGAAAACTGGATATAAAATTTGCTACTCTAGGTCCCTTGGTTTATCACTTATTCACTGATGAACTTAGAGCACCACTTCGTTTCTCTCTTGTTTCCTTATCACACATTTTAGTCCTTACAAAAATGAAGAGCTGAGAGAAGGAAAGTACTAAAGATGAAGAATTAAGAAAAGGAAGCTTACTATGGAAACTAAGAAAACATGTAACCAAACTCAGTGGTCAGGACAACATTATAGGATATGGGTTCTATTCCCTCACCTCTTGACATGAAGGTCACTAGCTGGTTTACTTACTTCAGGAGGGGCAATGAAGAGGCTTTCTGACAGGCAATGTCCTCTGTGGCTGCTTCTAGTTTCTTGGCTACAATAACTTATATTCAGCTTATTGTCCAGACATATCCATGTCCTTGTATGTCACCCTTGGAATTTGGAGATGTAGTATAGATTATATTCCTAAAATGCCTGGTTCAGATGTCCTGCCTTGTGGGCCCTTATTAGTCTATTACAAGTATCCTCCAGGGTCAAAGGCTTTAAACATTGCTGAGGGAATAAGACTCAAGTATTCTTTGAATGTTAGACAAGTGATTTCTGGAGTATACCTATTCAGCTCTGGTCCCAGTTGTAGCATACCAAATAGAAAGCTTTTCACTCCAAGTTCCTCAATTATTAATTCAACCTTGTGTGATGATTCATTTCCTCCCATTACAGGGAGGTTTTTAAATCTCCTCATTTCAAAATATCTCTTTACTCTTTAAGAAATATAACTTATCTGTTTCCTGCTTCACACTTTTTGAGTAACCTCTTTGTTTTACTTTCTCTTCCTTATGTCCCAAATAGTTTTTATCTCACTGAGATTTACTTTTGTCTTAACATTACACAGATATTGTTCTTGCTAATGACCTGATATTGCCAAGACAAATGCTAATTTTTAGAACTCCAGAGTACTAGAATCCTCTCTAGTATTTTCCACGTTGATAGGCTCCTTCATTTAGGGGTGCTTCCTCTCTTGACTTTCATGAAATCATGTTTTTAGTGCTAAATTGGAATAAAAGAGTGACAAAATGGCTGGGGATATAGTTTAATAGTAGAGCACTTGCCTAGCATACCACCACCCTGGGTTTGATCCCCAGCACTGAAAAAACCCAAACAAAGCAAACTCAGTGAAAGAAACAATCAACAGAGTGAAGAGTTAGCCTATAGAATGGGAGAAAATATTTACCATCTATTGAGCTGACTTATGATTAATATCTAGAATAGGTAAAGAATGCAAAAATTATATGCCAAAAGAGCAAATAGTCCAATCAATAAGTGGAAAAATGAGCTAAGCAGGTACTTTCAAATAAAGAAATATAAATGGTCA